GGGGCGCCGGATGCATGGGGGGGGGAACAGCTGGGTTCGGGGGGCTGCGGGTCAGGAGTTAGGGGCACTGCCCACGGCGGGGAGGGGGTCACTTACTCTCGGCGATGACGTGGATCTCCGGCCCCATGGCCGTGCCCAGGTCGTTGCTGGCGTAGCACCGATAGATGCCCTGGTGCCGCCCCGCATTGCTGTTGTTGATGTACAGGGTCCCCGAGCCCTCGACGACCGTCACCCCGGCCTCCCGGCGCGGGTCGAACCTGCGCCCGTCCTTCGTCCAGCGGAACCTGTGGGGGGAGGGGGAGGAGCTCGGGGCGGCACCGGGGGGTTGGGGGCCCTGGGGGGCGGGGAGGGGAGGGAGGCGGCGGTGGGGAAGAGAGGGGCCGTACTCACTCGAGGGGGGGTGTCCCGGTGGCCTCACACCGCAGCACAATGTCATCGCTGGGGAACACGACCAGCTTCTCCGCCGGCTGCTCCATCATCTCAGGGGGCTGCCGCACTGGGGGAGCGCGGGGGGGCTGTTACAGAGACTGAGAACCCAGCAACCTGCTCTGCCCCCCGTCCCACCCCAAGCTTCCCCAGAGTGCCCCAATTCCCCCTCCCCTGAACTCTCCCAAACTTCCCCCTAGACCCCCCCCCATTTCCCCTCCCCACCACGGCCCCCCCAATCTCTCTCCTGATGGATCCGAAACGGCCATGGGGGTTCTTGGGAAAAGGGGGTGAGTGTGCAAAGCCGCAGCCTGAGTGTGCCCAGAATCCCCGGATACCCCGTTTCACCCCAGGACTCACGGTTGTGCATCTCGTCTGTGGCGCCGGGTAGCAGAGGGGAGAGACACAGAGAGACGTTAGCTGGCGTCCCACGTGGGGGCCCCGGGAGTGGGACCGAGGGCTGTGTGGGTGTGAGCATGCAAGTTGTGCACTGCGCTTGTGCAGAAGTGTGCAAGGCAAACTGGCCAGAGCATGTCCACGGTTGCAAGGCGGGATGTGCTGGGAGACATGAGTGTGCACTGGAGGGTGTGCCAAAGTGTGCAAGAGAGCTGGGAGTGCTCAAGTGTGCCAGGTGAGCTGGCACAAGGCCTGGAGGGTGCTTGGTGAGGGTGAGCATGCACAAGAGTGAGCGGAGGGGGTGGGGAAGGGTGAGTGCGCGACCGCACATGCGAAGGGCAGGTGGAGCTGGGCGCTCACGGGGAGCGAGGGGGGATTGTACATGAGCGGGTGTTACAGCAAGCAAGGCACAGAAAATGATTGTGCACTGCGGCATGAAGAACCGTGCAAAGTGTGCCAGAGTGAATGTGCAAAACCACCCCCGGATCAGATCCATGGATTCCTCCCCTGCAGAAACTCCCCCCACCCATGGGTTTGGCACGGGCGGATACAGCCCAGTGCAACACCCTGAGCCCAGTCCGCGGTGCTGACTGTAGCTACAGCCCAATGCAACACCCGGAGCCCTGTCCGTGGTGCTGACTGTAGCTTCAGCCCAATGCAACACCCGGAGCCCTGTCCGTGGTGCTGACTGTAGCTTCAGCCCAATGCAACACCCAGAGCCCTGTCCGTGGGGTGAACTGTACCTACAGCCCAATGCAACACCCGGAGCCCTGTCCATGGTGCTGAATGTAGCTACACCCCAATGCAACACCCAGAGCCCTGTCCGTGGGGTGAACTGTACCTACAGCCCAATGCAACACCCTGAGCCCGGTCTGTGGTGCTGACTATAGCTGCAGCCCTTTGCAACACCCGGAGCCCTGTCCATGGTGCTGACTGTAGCTTCAGCCCAATGCAACACCCGGAACCCTGTCCATGGTGCTGACTGTAGCTTCAGCCCAATGCAACACCTGTAGCCCGGTCCGTGGTGCTGACTGTATCTTCAGCCCAATGCAACACCTGGGGCCCTGTCCCTGGTGCTGACTGTAGCTACAGCCCATTGCAACACCCGGAGCCTGGTCCGTGGTGCTGACTGTAGCTACAGCCCAATGCAACCCCCGGAGCCCGGTCCGTGGTGCTGACTGTAGCTACAGCCCAATGCAATACCCGGGGCCCTGTCCCTGGTGCTGACTGTAGCTACAGCCCATTGCAACACCCGGAGTCCTGTCCCTGGTGCTGA